ACATATGTGTGTCTGCATGCACTCATTTGTTGCATGCAAGTGCAAAAAGGGGCTGATGTAATGCAGAGGCTTTCTGCATCCCAACAATACCCTCCTTCAGTCTCTTAGCGGCACCCCTAGTGAAGAAGCAGAGCCTTTGTGCGTCTGCCAGCCTTCCAGCATGGATTTTTTGTAAAACTTAACAAACTGGTTTGTGCACAGTGTGCAGGCAATGCACTGACATAGTGAAGAACACAAGTCCAAGAAAGGGAAGCAGGGTACGGAGAGGTGGAGGGATTGAGGATGACAGCAAAGGAAGGAAAGGAAGAGATAGAGAGAAACTGTGAGTGTGTCATCTATTGTTTTCCCTCCTTGTCTCCACCGTTTTCCTTCATAAACACCACATACCTGTCACGTCTCATAACAAATTACTCTCTAAGGCCACTGCGAACAGTGATTACACTCCTTTTTCCTGTGATAAATGCAAGCTCCCTCCTTATTTCCACCAGAATATCTCATTCGAGGGGGGGGGGGGAGAAAATTAGGTACAGATTTCGCTGTGACGCACACACACGCAGCAGCAGCAGCAGCACAGAGAGGTCGTAAGCAGCATCTTCCAGTAAAGTTTGCAGCTGCCAGGATTTCCTCAGTGCTTCCCAGCAAATAATCTGAAAAATATTCCTCTGCACTCTGTCTGTGTGTTGACTCAGCTCCACCAGTCCTGCTATCAATTTACTACCCCTGTCAAGCCAGTGAGGCCCCTGCTTACCGTAAAATACCCCCTCTTCTGGTCGACATGGATGACTGAAAATGGGAGGATTGGGGAGAGAGAGAGAGAGAGAGAGAAAGAGGGAGAGGGTTTTGATTAACTGTTTAAAGCAGGTCCTTAGTTTCCCCTCCTGGAATAAGCATATGAAGTGTCTGGAAGGGGGCGGAGTTTTTACTGAAAGTAATCTGACTCAAGAACAAGATTTTAATGCTGCAATAAGAGCTGTGACATTTAGTCTGTGACACCCTCTCCAGCATGCCTGTCATTGCCGTTGTTATGGCAACAAATAGTTTTCCACACTTTGTAACAGGTAGTCAAACTTGTTTGTGATTCATATTCATCACTGTGCATGCAGAATTACATAAAGACGCTCACGTCACAGTGTCAATGAGACATCAGCAATCACTTTTCCATGAATGAGTCCTTTTACCTGATGAATGACTTCCTGTAATCCATTTGATATCTGTCAACAGGATAAGTGGTTCTGTTGTTATACCACCCAGATAAAAACCTAGGAGGCATATAACTTGTTCAGACTTATAAAGCTTCTCTGTGCAAAGACTTTTTTCAAGGTTTGTGCAGCTCTCATAATGAGAATGTGTTTGGCCTCAAACACACCAAACTGTGTTCCTTAACCGCTCAGACTTCATGAAAATAACTGCAGCATTATGCGTCTCTTCTGCAGTTACGTACCTGAACAATAACATGCTGTGTTTTGTGCCACAGGTTCCTGCTACTCATTAAAAAAAGCTGCCACTTCTGTACGACACGGACTGCGCACAAAAGAAACATTTTTAGTTGTCTGCAGTCTAATCAGCTCATATTCACATCAGGCTTTCTGTTTGTGCAGCTTTGGTCTCAAGGTGTGACGAAAGAGAACTGAAACAGTGTGCAGATTCAAGAGAATGAAAACCACGCAGTCAGAAGGCTCCGCATGTGTGCGTGGTGTCTGACATTTGGGTTTTATGACCCCTTGTGAAACACATGAGCTGTTCTGAGCCACAGATGTTAATAGACACTTAGCGCTAATAGACACCTGATGTTGGTTCACAAGCGGACAAATGAGTTTGCAGAAAAAAACTCTGCAGTTAACAAACTGAGGGCTTGTACATAGACTATATTGAACACAGGCTACTGTGGGTAAATAACCAAAGCCAAAACAAGAAAGTTGCAGAGTCTCTGTTTGTCTGTCCATTGTGCAGAAATGTCATCCTGACCCTTCTTCCTCTGTCTACAATAATAAACATGAAAAAGCCTAAATGTGGTCTAAAATGAACGTTCACTTGCAACCAGTGTTGTAGTATGCCCACTTATTTTTTAGTCTCCAGAGGACCCACTTCTAAATCCCCTCTGATTCTCACCAATGATTGAATGACAATATCCGTGGTATGCTGCAATTTTTTTGATGGTGAAGGGAAAGGGAACTCTGTCTCTAACGGGCTCCTACGCATGAAAATTTCAGACAATTTTGAAGCCGAAAATTTCAACATTTTTTAAACCAAATATTTTTCATGAAAAGTTTCGAAATTTTTGAAGCCGAATTGTTTCCAGGATTTTTTTGACATTTTTGAAGCTGAATTTTTTTCAGTGCAATTTTCGAAATTTTTGAAGCCGAATTTTTTCCAGGAATTTTTTGACATTTTTAAAGCCAAATTTTTTTCATGAAAATTTTCCACATTATTGAAGCTGAAGGAGTCTTACATGTCATGTTTATAACAGAGGGAGATTATAGTCTGCCGGACGGGCCACATAAAAAAAAGCGAGTATACCCACTTCTTTAGGCACCACTGCTTGCAACACAGTAGAAAACTATTAGAAGATAGAAAACAAATAAATTTTTGAAAATAGCTGTATGTGTTTTGGACGTCTGGGGCCCTCAGAGTTTGTGAAGTCAAAGTGGGGTCATGTGGTCACGAGCCAAAAAGGGTTGGAAACCACTGGAGAAGAGAGAGAGTTGCATTTTTGTTAAAGTAGGGATAGAAATATTTGACCACTGTGGCAGCCATAATAAATTAGTGTTTCCTGTTGTAGAAACATAACCTCTATACTGTAGTTTTACAGGCCATAAATCTCAGGCTGAGTTAGCATGTGGAGCAAATTTTATTTCTTTTCTTCTGAGAATTTTGAAGAACATCTGAGCTTCTATTACATCTCAAAATAAAACTTAATGAAAAAGGCACACATGCATCTTCCACAGATATGTCAGTACTTTTATAATGAACTTCCTTACTAACAGCCTCACCCCCAGTTCACTATCTCTCATAGTGATTCACTGAACTCTGACCTCCTCTGCATCTGCTTCCTTTTGTAAACTTGTTTCCATAACAACCACCCCACAAAGAATGATGGGTGTTTTTTGTTTTTTTTGTCTATCTGTCTGAACGTGTTCATTGCTCATTCAGTGTCATTGTCTCTCTTCATGTCGACCTATTCTCCCTCCTCAGGGAATGTCACTTCTTGTTACCTCAGAAAAGAACTGTTTGGATTTGAAGCCTGCAGCGCTTTAGATTCTGAGGATATTTATATATAGCTGTTTTCCCGTATGCACAGAACTCAGCCATCAAGACACATCTTTCCGCCTCTTTTCCTGACAGTCCCAAAGTAAAATGTTGTGTGAAGTCGGGGTGAGCCGATGTGTCAACGCAGCAGGAAACATTCAGGAAAATTCAACTCAAGGGAGGGGTGACGTTTATATCACATGGCCTATGCGATCTTAGTGCACTTAATGAAGCTGCTTCATTCTCCTTTCTGTCCACCTGAAAGTTCTTGGTAGTATGAATATGGCCAAATAAATCACATAGTGTCTAACATGATGCCTTGCCTCCTGGCGTCCCCACGCAGCGGGGCTACCTGGTTGATACTCCTAGTAACATAAACCTGTCTCAAAGATTAAGCCATGCCAGTCTAAGTAAACACGTCCAGTACAATGAAACTGTGAATGGCTCATTAAATCGATTATGGTTAACCCCCCCCCCCTTCCCACTTCCATCCAACAGAGTAAACTTCCCCTTCATGCGGGACATGTGAGATTAAGCAACTCAGGAACATTTCAGGGGCAGGCTGACCTGAAAGTTTCATGAATGTATGTTTTAAAAACAGCTCCCGTAGTAGGTCAATATCACTGCTTATACCGATTAGTCATTAAAGGAACACATGGCTAAAGTTTATTTTTATTGATTGATGCAAGTCCAGATGTATTTCCACTCGTTTTAGGATTCACTTGAATGGCTACATGGCTTATTGCCACAATATATCTCAGAACTTTTGCAGCCCTCAAGATCACTCAGATCTGTCAGTGAGTTGCTTTTAACCACTCCAAAAACTAGGAGCGGAGGACCAGAGGAGACCGAGGTTATTCAGCAATTCATCCAAAACTCTGGAACGAGCTGCCCCAACATTGCATGTTTTTAAATCTTGTCTTAAAGGTCACATATTCTCCTCCTCTTCAACCAGTTTAAATAACTCTCAGAGCTCCCTAAAACATGTCTGTGAAGTTTCTTGATCTTAATCCACTCTGATCCTGTATTTGATCATGCCTATAAAACCCCCTATTTCAGCCCTGCTCAGAACAGGCTGTTTCTGTGTCTGTACCTTTAAATATATGAATGAGCTGTGTCTGACCACGCCCCCCTCTCTGGAAGGGCTTGGGTGGCTCGGGTTTTCTCGCTCCATGCCCTATTGTTTACGGTGAGAAGGCCGACTCAAGAGGGCAGAACAAACACCTAGCTGTGGGAGTGTCACCCACCTGGGAGAGGGGTTACTGCCCTTTGTGATGTCATTGAGGGAAAATCTCCAAACGGCCTGTTTGAGCACACATTTTCTGAAAAGTGGAGCAGGCAAAAGACGGAGACGATGGACTTTTCTCATAATTGGGGGGTTTGCAGACAGATTAGGGACACATATTAGAGTTAGAAAAACATGGTGAAGTGTATTTCGCACAATATGTGACTTTTCTTTTGCATCTTAGCTTTTAACTGTGAAAGAGAGCGGTGTGTTGTGTCATTTTAAGTTGTATCTTGTTCTTATGTCGTCTTTTTATTTTTATTATTTATTTGCAACCACTATTTTTTGTTGACTGTGAAGCACTTGGAAACTGCTGTTTCTTTAAATGTGCTCCATAAATAAAGCTGGATTTGATTGGACAGTGTTGTGGAAGAAAAAACATGAAGGGAGGAATTGAATCTTCAAAATGCTTAGGAAAATAAAGTTTCCTGGCATGACAAGAAGGTAAAAATAAAAATCAGAACTCAAGTGTGAATGTAAACCATGGCTTCAGTATTTATTTTTTATAATTTCAAACAGACCACACAATATTAAGAAAAATATTAAGTGCTGCACGTCATACAAAAGAAGCAGTTGTGCTGACTGTAGAAAAGGTCGGTATTAACTTTCCAAAAAAAAAAAAAATCCAGAAAAAAGGTATAAATACAAAACAACCTATGTACAAATACCAGAAAAAAATAATGCTCATTTAAAAATAACTACACAAATTCTGAATTCACATATTTTCTAACCTACATTGTAAAAACTCACGCACCAGCACACCCATTTCCCTTACTGTCAAATTCACACACAAACACACATTTTCAAGTTTTGTTAGGACAGGACACTTAGCTTATCTCTGCAGTGAAGAGGGAAAGCCAAAAAAAACAACAACAACAAAAAAAAACATCAAATTCAAATGTCCAGCTGTGTATAAAAAACATTTCTCTGAACTCGGGTGCACGGCCTTGAGGTTTGCACCAATACATGTGGACGAGCATTTATGGGCTTAAAATTCTCAAAATAAAATCATAAACTCTTTAATTTTTTTCCCCCGTTGCCGTTAACAACAGAGTTCAATTAATTCAAAACATAAGGGGAAAATATCTCTATTCTATTTAAACCTTAATTACATGAATTCACTGCAACACGACGGCTGCATTCCACTTATTTTTGGGGGGTCATTTCCTCAGAAATACAATAGTAGTTTTACACTACTAAAACACACTACCTAATCAAGAATGAACAGGGAAGCACCTGGGCTTGAAATAAAGCTGCCAAACCAACAAGAGGAGATGTGGAGCTCTCGCTAAGTGGAGATTGTGTTTGTTCACAGAGGAATGAGCTCGTCTGGATGCATGTCCAGGATTGGCCAGTCTCACATTTTGGCACATGATGCAGCACCAAACAGGAACAAAGGCTGACGTAAAGCTTAAGTACAGAGCGAGAGAGAGAGAGAGAGAACCTGACGAGACGTAAACATGGGAAACTTTAAAAAGCAGATTTCATACGAGGCTTTCTGTTCAGCGTGTTGGTGCTTGTTGATGTGTATGTAACTAAGTACTAAACATGTTATTCACAGCTTAATCAAACGAGTGTTCAAGATGGTAGGACTCTGACAAAACACACCCGGTGCGTTGTTCTTGATGGCTTTTGCTTACTCTCTCATCCAGTGATTGAATCCTGTAGAGCTGCCAGGCAGTTAAAGCTGACATAATACAAGGCTGCCCCCTATGGGTCAAAGAGTGGCACAGACATTAAGACTTTGGAAATAAGGAAGAAAAAAAAATTCCTGAGTTGTCACACTGTAAACACTCTAAAAAATAAAAAAAACATCAGATTTTGTTGCTGGTGATATGCATAATAATAGCTCATGCTTCTTTATGAATTTTACACATTTTTTTTTTCTTTGTAGCGCATTTTAAAAATGTTGCAGGAAATCCAAAAATTCCTGCTTTCACAAAGTGTTTCCTAAAGTTCGGAGAATACACACATCAGTGTAAATCTCCCGCCCGACCTCCAATCGTGATCACTTTTTACAATCATATGTACAAATTATTTCTTCTTTATTAAAATAACAAAAAAGGAGGCAACTCCTCCCGCGAAACTACTGAAATCAAAACAAGCATGGCATAAAGAAAGAGTGATGGCTTCATAGTGTGATATGTCCTACCTCCTTAAGACGTTCATTAAATATCCCCCTCCCCTCCCCTCCTCCCCACAACTCATCTATACCTCAGCTCTTCAACAGATCTCCCAGATCATACGTGTCGAAGAAATCCGACACCCCCTCGCTGTCCTCCAGGCTCCACAGATAATCATCGTGGTCCAGAGGAGGAGAAAAGCTGACGAAGGGGGTGTTGGGGTCTGAAGTGAAAGACGTGCCGGGGAGCTGGTCGTCGGTGATCTGGAGCAGGCCCGGGGGTAGACCCAGCAGACCCTCGACGTCCAGCAGCGAGGAGGCAGAGGCTGCAACGGAGGAGGAGGATGCTGGAGGTGCTGTGGATATGTTGGCTGTGTTTGAGAAAAGGACAAAGCACGGAGGAGGTTCATATTTTAATCAGTGTGTTTGAATGTCTTCTTGTCATTCCTGACTTTTTGTCCAGCATCTAAGTTTGATATCTCTGACATTATCTGCAACTCGTACAATTTGCTATATACAAAAGGAAACAGAGATATTAACATTTTCTGTATTTTTACATCTCTCTGGTCTAGTGTATGTATCCAGTATGCAGCTGGGTCAATGGGACGTAAGACGAGTTGAGCACCAAGGATCAAAGTTTGAAAAATACACCAACCAATACTCTCAATGCTGTAGCTAGGAGGACTGCTAACTCCACAAAGCGTAAACAGATGGTATTAAAAGAGCTACACAGAAACTGCACGTTGTTGATCACATTTTAAACATTCCCTCTGAGCGACCCCCCCCCCCCAAACAGACTTTGTCTTATATACGGGTGCGACTTATAGTCCGGATTTTACAGTAAACAAACTATGTTGATTTTGAAATGTGACGATTTGTTACCAGCCTAAAACGAGCCAAGAAGCTTCCCTGTACCACGGTTAAGGCCGAAGAAGCTAAAAAGGTAACATTAGCGATGGGCAGTAACTTTTTAAGAGTTTTTGTTTTACAGATTTATTTGAAGACAGAGATAAAAAAAAAAAAAATCATATTATTTAATGAGTTATCAAGGAGCTGGAACTGCCTCCTGCATCATAATTTAACTAAACCATGAGTTTTTTTTTTGTGTATGCCCAAAATAGCAAATTAGATATTGCTGCATGACCAGCAGGGCATCACATGCTTCTCGTTGTCAGAATAAAGTGACTCATTCAGTAGTTATCTCCTGATGTGACAATAAAGTCTCTGAACATGACCCAACAGAGCGGCACTTACATTCTGCAGGCTCCTCTTTGATGCTGAAGCTCGGCGGGCCCATGGAGGTCGGGGTAGGAGTACAATGAGAGGGGGGAGGGAACTCCTTTTTAGGGGTTATAGCACTCTTAACAGGGCTGGCGTCCTCAAGGCCTTCCTCTGGACACAGGTAGACTTCAATGGGACCGTTCTTACTCTTCAAATAGATCTGTAACGATCCCTGCTGTAAGGAGAAATACAGTTTTCATGTTAATGTTTTATATTAACAGTTGATCTGATATTTCTATCTTTTCATCACTTTGCACCATTCAAATAAAAAGTGTGCTCACTCCTGCCATGTCTGGAACCTCCAGTTTGGTGTCAGCAGGGGCCTTGACAGCAATGACCGTCTGGTCTCGGAGGCTGCCGATGGAGCGGATGTCCTGATATGTCACATAGCCCAACGTACAGTTTGGAGTTAAGGATAAGAAGGGGGTAAGTGTGCATCTGAGTGTGAAACTAGACCAAACCAAAAAAAAAAAGGGAGATAAAGCAACACAGGACGGGGGGAGTTTGAGATGTAAAAGGATATCTCTGATTGTCTCCGTGCTCCGTGAGCTGTTTGAGCTGCGTGGTGCTCGAGTGGATCAGTTCATCCAGAGATCTCTCCTCTCGCTCCAGGTCTCCGAGCTCTCTCCTGAGGGCGCAGGCCTTCTCTCCTCCGCCTGCACCGCCCTCGAACACATCCCCGACGCTACGAGAAAACAAGATAAAACAAAAGTTAGAGGAAGTGAAAGCTTTAAAAATGCTACACGGTTCAGGTGAGGTTATTCAGGGTCATCTTCAGATATTGCAATGTTCCTAAACGGCCACTAGGGGGCAGATTACTGGAGTTAAATAACAGCTTTTGGATTAAATGTGTCAGACTATTTGACTCATTTACTGTCACTGCTAATTTACTTTTAGGTCAAAGTCTCAGTTTTATGGAACTTAATAATTCTAACTTACATGTTGTCATTCAGATATTATTTCTAGGATATTTAATTGTTGGAGAAAATGTATATTTTTAATTATGATGCAATCCAAACAGCAGGGAGCAAAGAAAACTAGAGAGCAGAGTAAACATGTCGTCCAGGAATATGGGTCAATATGCAGACGACTGAAAAGGGAGTTGGGTCATTTCTCCTCATGCGTCCGTACTCACAGCCACTGAATGTTGTTCTTGGACTTCTTCCGGATCAGCTGGACTCCCTCCAGGACGTTGGTGATGTCGTAGATGCGTCTCTTCTGGACCTCCAGGACCTCTGTGGCCCAGTTCAGGTCGAGAACGCCATCGGGAGACTCGGCGATCAGACCCACAAATTTCTTGGTCAGGAGGCCCAAGGAGGTGTCGTACCGAGTCCGCTCCCCGGGAGACTTTGGAGCTGAGAGCGGGAAGACATAACCAAAAGGAAGGGGGGGAGGGGGGAGAGAGTTAGACATAAGGAGATCAACAGGCAGAGAACGTAGAAGGGTAAAAACAAAGAATATTTCAACTAGATTTATGATTTAAATCTCTCCTACAGCTTGGTAACCGTTCAGAGGAGCTGCTCTACTCTTCATGGGACTGACTCTCTCTCTCTCTCTCTCTCTCTCTCTCCTGTATTCTGAATGTTAACATGTGCAAAAAAAAAAAAAAATGTAATTGGTCAAATAATTGGATTATTTTCCTTGTGGCGCTCCTGTGCTGTGTTTCCCCTTCACTCCTCAAAGGGTGGAGAAGCCTCCATCTTTTTTAAAGCTACAACCCCCCCCCCCCCCCAAACAATCTTCTTCCTACTTAGCCTAACACCCAACCCATCCCCTTCCTGCCCCCCTTTGGACTTGTGCCACTGTAAAGAACTCTTAATTGGACAACTTCCTGTCTTATCTCCTTGCACTTAGGAATACTTTATAACTCTTGTTATAATTATACCAGATTTTATTACGACTCCATTGTTCCTCAGATTGGACTCATTTTTTTTTTTATTACTGCCAGCTTCATGCTGAGTGTGCTCTTTTATTGCTTCTTCCATTTTGTAAAAAAAACAACCTTATTTTAGTTTACACAGAAGCTCTGCAGAGATGGAATCAGCCCAGACCTCTGACCACAAACCACGCTTTAGGATTCAACACTTCATATGTTAGTGCTGTGGTTCTCAACTGGTGGGGTCTGGACCCAATAATGGGTCATGGAGCTGTTTTCAATGTCTCATGTGACTCTGTGCTTGGAAAAAGTCTATGAAGCCCTTTGTACCATCCTGAACTCCAAACCGCACAATTTTTCATGAACTACATCTGATTGGTTGAAAGAAAGTCGGACATATGGGTCCCAGTTTTCTCTCTAATGAGTTCATGGTTGGTTCTGACTCCAGACCAGTTGAGAACCACTGCTTCCAGTGTGCTGTGCTCATGTCGTGTTGTTACTCACTCCTTGGACTTGGTATCCTGGCTGCGATGCCGCCTTTGCCTTTGGGTGTGCGAAACTCGGGCAGGTACAGAGGATCCTCTAAATCCAGCTTCCTTTTAGCCTGAAGCGAGAGAGGACAAAGAACACGTGTTAGAATAAAAAGAAACATTAAAAGGTTTTACATCACAGGGTTTCATAACCTGCCATTATAAGACTACAAACAGTGAGACTGTATTCTCTATTTGGATTTCCTCCAATGGCGAGTTAAAGTTGAGTCATGGGATTTAGGTGTTAAAAAAAAAAAAAATCGGGCCCATTTGTGAAACTGTGACGTCAATGTGAGTGCTAAAAAGGGGTTGTTGAATAGTGTCGTAAATGTGCCAACAGCCCTCAAGTGCAGGAACAAAGCACCCCCCCCCCCACACACACACACACACTTTCCCAAACACTTGGAGCCGGGCTGATGTTATGCGTGTGTGTGTGGATAAGAAGGGGGGGATGACTGGCTCCCATGCACACTGCCTGCAACATGCGAGGAAATCCCAGGATTCACTCAATGACCTCTCCCCCCCCCCCCCCCCCCTCTCTCTCTCTCAAGCCTCCTGACCTCCCCCCTCCCCTCACCTCACCTCCAAGGCTTAACACACAAGCTCTCCACAGAAACACACCCACACACAAACAGATGATGAATTGACTTTAGCCTCTTCACAGAGAAACTCCTGATAATTCTAGAATTTCAAGACGGGCCGCTCTCGGTTCGTCCCGAGTTGCCTGTTCACACATGCACCTCACATCAGGAGACTTTCACCGTTGCAGGGAAATGGGTCAGGAGGCAGGAGATGATGTAATATCAGCTCTCTTCAAAACTGTTTAGTGTGTGTGCAAAAAGTGCCATAACTGAGCTCAGCTGTCTTTACGTCTTTGTAGATTCATTTGTTGTTCCCTACGTTGTTATGTTGCTGTTCCAGTCGGTGAATTTGCATCTCAGGGTTACAGAAGCATGGCACAGCTGGAGCTCCACATAGAAACAGTCAGACATGCACACACATACATGCTGACTCAACTGAAACCGTCTCCCTCTGTTGCTACCTCTGAAGACGGCACACCCTCATTAGGCCTCTTCGACATTCAGTTTCAACATGAAACTTGACGGGGTCAGATACCATGTTTTTTTTTTTTGCCTTTATATGAATCCTACGTGTAATTGACGTATTAACAGTATTAAAAAGTAGATAAAACATCATACTGGCAAGTAGGAAACAGCATGAAGCATTTTCATACGTGCATGAAGATCGTTCAAGTCGCCCACGGGTCTCACTGTACAAGCGTCATCACCCCCGGCAACTGGCTTGTTGCGAGTTTATCATAATATCACCAAAAAATACGATTTTTCTTTCTACTTTGGCTTTAAATTGAACTTCTGTTGTTTTGTGGTTTCTTTTCCTTGCCTTTGTTTTGTTTTTATGGTTTTGTTCTTTATTTAAAAAAATAAAAAATGTTGCAATGCATTCTGAAGTCACTGTTGTGAATGAAAACTGTAAACGAACATTGCAATAAAGCAGGAAAAAATAAATTAAAAAATCACCTGCTGCGCTCACACATCGGCTCACCCTGACGTAAAGCAGAACACTTTACTGGAGGATGATGAAAATGTGCAGGTAAGGTCTGGCTGAAAAATTGTGCGTTTTTGCTTTCACACATGCAGCTTTGGGTGAAATTTTTACGAGTTTTGTAGTCATAAAAAAAAAAAAAAAAAAAAAAAAAAACTTGTAACAGTAATGCATAATAAATCTGGCTGCTGTAATTGAAAGCACACACACACACACACACACACACACACACACACACACACACACACACACACACACACACACACACACACACACACACACACACACACACACACACACACACACACACACACACACACACACACACACACACACACACACAACCTTCGGACCACAGTATAAACGAGATATCTTTGTCATTGCATCACAGAAACTTCCTTAATGACCTACATGGTCCCATAAAAACAAAAGTGAAAATCAACCTCGTCTCCCTTTCAACACAGAGAAATGACCAACTGACAAAAAAAAAAAAAAAAAAAGGCAAATTGCGCAAATTGGCAACACCCTAACAAGCAGAAGTCCTGCAGGCTCGTTTTTAACTCTAAGATGTTCGAGTCACTTTGCAGCAAATCATCCGGTGACTGAACGTTTGGGTTTTTTTTTTCCCACAGAGGCTGCTGGGTAATTTGTGGTATCTGGTTACCTATGACTGTGTCCTCGTGCCGTCCTTTCAGCTTTCAGTCGTCCCACAAACTCGTCTCTCCCTCATCTTCAAAAAACCAACATGACAACCTAATCCCTTTTTGTCACCTCTGGGTTCCAGTTAATAGGTTTAAGCAACTGACAGGGACGGGAGAAGTCGTTCACTGAACATGTGTGGACGTGTGTGTGTGTGTGTGTGTAAGTAATCAAGGCTGCCTTTGTCCCTGTGTGCTCCCTGACATGCCCACCTGTTGTCAGTCGACATCTGGAGCAACATGGCAGAGTCTATGGGCTGTTGGCGGGGCCAGCTTTGAATCCCTTCAGTACACAGGCAAGACCTCCAAGCTGACATAATGAGCAGCTTTTCTCAAAAAAAAAAAAAAAAAAAAAATTTATAAAGACCTTTTGTTGGATTTAATTCATCAGTGTTTTGTTGGCTCTAAGTGTCAACACCAGGAGTTTCAGAGAGAAGTCTTAAAGAAAGGACAGCTGAACCGCAACGCTCAAAAGAAGGAAGCCGTCTGCTTTGACTTCATGCTCGTTTTTTTTTTCTACAGCTCCATAAGAAGTCGTGTGAAAAGTCAGGCTTCAAGCTAGGTCAGGCTAGCTTCTTATCTTCCATAACCTACATGTTGAGCTCAAGCAGCACCATGTTTGCATGTTTGATCTTTCAGGTCGACAGCTACAGAGTCATAGCCACAGGCGTGTGACGTGTTGTTAGAGGGGCTCCAACAGTTTGAGCCTGCAGCTGTATGAGGTAAGGTGGGCGGGGGGTGTTGGGGGCTTTGGTGCTCCTTTTTTTGCGTGTGGGATTTTTTTCGGGTGAGTCAACAATATTAAAAAAAAAAACAACACACCACTTCAATTGCCTGAGGTCCTTCATTTGCATACAGATGCGTCACAAACGTTCACAAACCTTAAAAAATACTGAAAATCTAAATGTGATTATTTGGTTCAGTCATAAAATAAGAACAGAAGAAGCCATTGTTTGGGCTAAGTGTTGCAGATGAAATGGGAAAGGTCTCCTTCTTAAGCCCTCACAGTATCACTCCTCTCACACAGTTCTCTGTAACCTCACCCTGCCTGCCTGTCCAGTTACACCCAAGCACCAACACACGTGGCCTCCTCTGTTCACTGTACATTCTCAGACTGATTCCCGCCATCACTGCTGCTGTGGCAAAAATGTCCACAGTGGCTTTTTAACACACACAGTCACAGTCATGTGAAAGACTTCAACAGGGAAACCTCTCTTAAACAACACACACACACACACACACACACACACACACACACACACAGGCTGCATGGGTTTCAGATTCCACACCAAGCCAAGGGCAAGCTGCAGTTTGCCTGCAAATATCTACTCCTAGTCTGTACACAAACACCTCACTACCACACCCGAGAAGAACAACAAAGCCGGCATTGCTGATGAGATTGTCAAGAGGCTGAAAAAAAAAAAGAAGGAGGGTGGGTCTGACCATTTGTAGGAGAGCAGTCTGCTTTGAAATGCTAAAAAACTCCCCCTATAGAGGACATTGTGCTTCAGGGTTCTGCAGTGGCCTGAGGCCAGGGTAAAGTAAGGTGAAGGAGAAAAGAGAAGTAGGGAGAGTTTTTGGGCGATTGCATACAGTTGGCAACGTGGCCGATGTCACGCCCGAGTGTCATCGAGCTGAGTGGGGAGTCAGCAGAGGAGCCGTGCAGGATCTCTGAAAACCACATTGTGACACAAGAAGTCTCAGGAAGGTTTATAAATGCTCAAAGAATTTTTTTTAAATAAGAGGTAGAGTCCGACCGATTCATCAGCCTGGCGATAATATCGGCCGATATTAACAAATCCTGTGACTATCGGCTAATTTGATCACAGATATTAACAGATTTATTCACAAGTCAAAACATATTTCATTTGAGTTTCACTGGATTACACTAGCAGTTCTCTTTCATTAGCATAGCGTGCTACATGGATTACAACAAGCATCATCACTGTCCGGAGAGTCCAGCCAAGATATACGTTCATGTGCGTTACTTTCCAGTGTAGTGACCATCTTGTCTTTGTTATCCATCTTTTCCAAGTGTTTGATAACTGGACAATAAATGTGTGTATCTAGCTATCTATATCTAGATCTCCAAAAATCTGAGATTTATCTAAGACAGATATCAGCATCATATTTCTTTCCTCCCTAGTATTTACATCACACCCAAAGATTCCACATGGGTCGAGAGCTAATACATAGATAGGACCTTTATTGTCATTGTGTAAAAGGAGCATATCCAAACTGTGTAGCAGCATTATAAAATCAAAAACAAAAACTAAACTTGTAGTTATGTACATTAAAATCATAGTCGTGCCAGATCAAAAAGCTGACATTAATGCCGAAGCAGTTTTGGCAGATTGTCCACATTCCATGTAAATCTGGAGAACGCACACATGTGACATGAGCGGTGGAATAAGAGGGACATTGTCTCTGATGCATTTTGTGACCAGACCTCCTTTATTACTTTTTGTGTCTGTAAAGCACAGAAAAGAGATCTCTGGACTTTGCAGGGAGAGTCGAATCTTATAACACATTAACAACACTTAACTAACCATTGAGGGGGGAATCGAGGGTAAAACATGATAACACCGCCACGTCTAAATGACAAATCATTGATACAATCATTAATACATTACCTTTTATTACAGTTTGCATGATCAATAACCTAAGAGCCCTGCTGCAAAACAGTTGAACATTAACTTGTTTTCATCGCTGAGTGTGTTTGAAAGCATGTGACCACAGGGGGAAACCGAGTTGGAGTCTGTGTGGCTGTTGAATGGATCTTTTTTTTTCTGTCTGTTTGTTTGAACTCAAAGAAACTGTCACCCAGTTAAAAAAGAAAAGAAATGTGGTTTATATGTTGTTTAAGATGAAGGAAGTGAGCCTGTGCATGGAGAAGCAACACTTCCTGTACATGAAGATGAACTGAAGCAGCTGTGTCAGTGGGAACATGATGAGGACATCCTCACTGTCTTCAAAACAGCACTTATGTCATCATTAACACATATTAGATTTAATATCCACTCAGTGAGAAAAATAAATCAAGTGACAGCATGAGCTTGAATCATGTTCCTGCCAATCATCATTTGTAATCAGAGGGAGAAAAAACGGAATATTTATGCATTTGTTGTGTGAACTGTGTGAATTTCAGAAATGGTATACTTCTATATTAAAGGATTAAAGCTTGACCGATTAATCGCCCAGACGATTGACTATCGGTCTCGGCTAATTTTATCGCAGTTATGTGCCGATATCACTGGATTTATTCCGAGTTGAATATAATTTTATTTCAGGTTCATTGTGTTAAACTAGCAGTTCTCTCGTCCACCAGCAGGGTGTTTTATATGCACGGTTACTTAACAATTCAGCGACCATCTGTTCACCAACACGGCACGTCATCTTTCTTTACAGATCTAACATCGATCCAAGAAAGATATCGGTCGATATATCGGCATCAGATTTTTTTTTCTCTCCCCAATATCGGTATCACCCACAAAAAATGCCACATCAGTCGGACCCTAAACGGGACATATAGTCGTGAAAATGCATTCAGGACACGACCCTAAACGTCTCAACTTTGGGGTGTGCATTCATCTTCAGTTTGATAAATTCAGGTCAGTGTCAGATTCACCAAAGCTCCAAGTAAATAAGATATAAAAAGCCTTGAGTCCCTTTGCCTAAGCATTAAAGAAAAAGGCATTGAAATGAATCTACAAGGTGACAGCTGTGGCGCTTTTCTTAATGCAGGGGGAAGAGAAATCTCCTTACAGCCCACTGTGTCTCTGTCACCCTCTTAGAAAAGAAAATGAAAAAGGATTTAGCTTTTTTTTTCTGACATGAACAAGATAGAAGTGGCAGCCCTGTCACCCACTCACAGTGTGTCGTTTGTAAGACTTTAAGGTGCTTTTCGGGCCACAGATTGAAAGTTTTACTTCATTCACTGAGATGTTCTGAGGAAGTTTCACAATCATGGGACTCCGAGACTTTTGAAACCCGACCTGCAATTTCAGAAGTGCATCACTCTTTTGACGTTAAAGGGACGGCGTATGTCCTGTGCATTCAGAGGAATAATGGACACAGCAGCACTATCAGTGTGAAAACACACACTCAGCTCTCGTGGTTCTTTATCTGTGACTTGTCACCATACTCTGATAAAAGCACAGCTGTGTGATAAACCCTATCAGGAGCTCTATTTTAGCCCCCTGTCACACTGTCTTAAAAAGCCTGTAGACAAAACAGACATTTCTTCCATATGACATTTGCAAATTAATGTAAGCCCACCTTGGCATATAATAAGCCAGGTGGTAACCTATTTCCCACTTTGCTTAACGTCCAACTAATCCTCTTGAGGGGCCTATTAGTGAACACAGGCTCTGAGGGCAGGGGGGGGTTAACCTGAGATTTGGAGACCCTGTCCTGGACTCACTCTAACCCTTAACCCATATAGCCGCACAGCAATTCAGTAAATCTATGAAAGGCTTTGTGGTCCAAACAAAACAAGCAACAGCAGGTGATTTAAAATTTAAAGCATGCACAGTGGTTGCACACTGCATTTCTCGAACAGGAAATAAACACATGGTTTGATTCCCCCCCCCCCGCTCTGAGATGTCTTGAACAGACTTGCTTCTCAAGGGAATACAGCAGTTGTTTTGGCTGTGACCTCTGACCTCCCACCTCCTTCCTACAGTGACAGGAGCAGGTTACACAGGTCCCGTACGGGCCACTTAACGACAGGTGTGGTCGCCGCAGCTGTCTTGTGGGTGTAATCGCAAAATAAGCTGCACAAACACGAGAGTTAAGGTGAGGGCATGTTTTTGGACTCACAGTAAGCTTCAGTGAACAGATACAGAACTGTGCTGTGTTTACACTGTCAGCCCGGCCATTGTTTGATGTGTAAAAGCCATCTTTCCCACAGTGGGGGCCACTCATCCGGCCTTTTCACATGAGAGATGGGGGGGGGGGGGGCTCACACTCTTCAAACACTATCATCCCCCTCCCTCCTCCTCCTCCTCAGTCACTATCATCATCATCATAACTATTACAAAAACACACACAGTGGCTGGCCTTGCCTGGTTACAGCTGGACTGCAGGGGGAAAGATGTCACACAACTTTGACACTCACACACACACACACACACACACACACACACACACACAGAGACAGAGACACACACAGTGGATCCTCTGTGGCTTATCACGTCAGAGCATATTTGATGAAGTAATGCATAACCATGTAAGGATTATTCCTCCCACATTGCATGCACACAACCCACTGTATTGAACACAGAATGGTTTTTTTTGTGTGTGGTGTGGTGTGTGTGGTGTGTGTGTGTGTGTGTGTTTGAGTCTTTACCGGTAGCCGCCCTGAGGATGATCTGATGGGTTTAGCCTCGGGTCCGTGGGGGGTTGAATACAGGCTGTTGTTGGCTCTTTGTTCGGCCGCGGCCGTGTTGCAGATCTGGGTGAAATATCCGGCCGGTATCGTGTTCATCAACGGACTGGACATCCCGGCACCGAACAGCTCGGCCTTCACCCCCCCGGTGGACAAAACCTTCATTTTGTTCTGGGAGCAGGAGAGACCCACCACCGTCTGCCGACCCGCTGCCGGAGAGACGCCTTTAGGCATCCGCATCATTTTCTCCCCCCCTCTCTCTGTGCAAAAACTGTATTTAACCGGGTAGGGTCAAGAGGATGACAGCAGCTAATAATAATAATAATAAAAAATGCTTAAAATGTCGCCTGCTGAAGTAGAAGAAAGAGGTTCCTCCTGCACGCTTTGTTTGCTGTTATATTGGGAGCATGTGAACACAATCACAAAAGCACTGGTGCATCAAGTTGAAATATTCGTGCTCAGGACAAAATGTGAAGTTCTGCTGTTTTATTGTCGTGAAATAAAGCAGCAGATCGCTAAATGTTGTTGTCCTTTGTCCCGTAACAAACTTTCCTTTAGGGAGTAATCAAAAAAATAATAATACCTTGCCTTATGAATAATTTCTTCAAACATCCAGCCTTAAAAAAAACAAAAAAGTCCCACTCCAGCGGGGCTTTGAGGGGTCCCACGGTGAGATTTACAGCTTGTTGTGACTCGCTTTCCGATGCGGAACTTCGACCCGGTCTGTGTGACTCCTGTCCGTCCACCTTCAGAGCTCCTCTCTCTCTCTCTCTCTCTCTCTCTCCATTCAAGCTGGGAGAGAAGAATCAGCTATTTTACCGCCAAACTTCGTCCCGCGAAATTTGGATCTCCCGCGGTTGGAGCTGCTCTCTGATTGGCCGACGGCACGTTCGACTTGTCATTATCTGCATAAAACAGTTGTGCGCGCCTCGGGGTTGGTGTTCTTAAAGGGACAGTAACGTGATTTCAGGACACAGTGTTGCATTATACAAACAGGCTGGAGATGGAGACAATGACTTCTCTTCTTCATTTGAATAGTGTATAGACATTATAATTAAAGTGTTGTAATGTTGTTGTTAACAAACATTATGTGACATTTGCCCACAGGCTTTGATAAACAACAAACTGACACATATCTTGCGTCGTACCAAACCAGAATCATTGACCTTCCATCAATGACAAAAAGCAATGAGCACATAATTTTTACTACCTCAACTTTATACAATTCACCAATCAAAATTTTAGCATTTTTATTTATGAAAACATGAATAAATGTGCAGAATTAGGGCTGCAGGCTAATCACAAAATTGTGATATCAAGTTTTAAACTCCAGTGAATGAAAAAAAGGTGTATTTAATATAAGTTAGGTCTATCTAAGGTGATTATGTGTAACAATTATATAAAGTTAAGCCTGTATATATTGCATGATGGGGGATTGTTATTGAAGACTTGAGTTAAAATTGAATGATCTGTTTACAAATTATTTAAAAAAAAGATCATCCTCGGTCATTTGTATAGTCTGAAAAAAAGCCATCTGATTGTTAACATGGGTTTCCATATGATGAGTGTGTAGTGGCCTTATTGTGCTACTGGAGATAGTTTGGAGACGATAATTGGATTCAGTCAGCAGCACTCTTCCTTATTGGCTCAGATAAGATATTGAAAGAAAACAACCCCTCCCCCCGTGCAGAACCCAAGCCATATGACATGACCCCCATTGGCCCAGGCAAAGAAGACTCCCAACCCAAAGCGAGCCTTTTGTCACGCCTCCATCTGAACTACATTTCAAGTGAAACAAAAGTCCTTTATAACTCTGAATACGGGGATAGGATCATTATGACAACATTCACTCCACATACAACCCTAATGACTTTATATGGGCTACAATATAAATATAAAGTAGGGCTAAGGTCAAGCAGAAAGAGGACACCGCTGCATGCTTATAACCCTGAGATAACGCTTAACTGTTGGTTAGTTGAGATATTTGCTTTCTATTTCATATTATTCACAAAAAAAGGGAAAAAACTGTTATCAGAGTCTCTACACAGTTCAACTCAAATCACCCCACCCTCTTCGTCTTCCTCTTTCTTACACCATTTCAAAATGCTGTTTGACACAGTACAGAAGACAAGATTCAGATATTGATAATCGGAGATCCTGTAAAAGTTGCCCAAAACGCCTATCCAGTCATACCCAAAGTAAAGCTGTTTTTGAACTTTTTAGAGTACAAGCACAAACAAGGTCACGCTTGAGACGTAACACTCTGAAGTTTCTTCCCCAAACAGCCAGAATCACAGTTTGTTTGTAGGACTGGTATTGTAAAATGTAAGCTGGGACTGCACACAAAAAGTCTGAATATTTTCTTTAAACAGGAGCCAGCAGATGACTACAGCTGGGAGCTTGTAGCATGGAAAACTCAATTGGGCCGTAGCCTAAAGCCTTAACTAGTTTAAGTCTACATTTATAAACAAAAGCACAAAAGATGAATGTTTTAGAGATGTATTTCTAAAGGTTTGTCAATCCGTCTCCAAGCTCTGCCATTTGGAGACTCCATAAGAACCCTTTGTAACCATGATGTCAACCCTGTGATTAAAAGGCTGCTACTCCTGAACGCTTCAACCTACATGCATCCTTTTGGGCTCTATGGAAAGGTTACTGACACAGATTTCTAGAAGCATAAACGCATTTAAAGTGCATTTTTGTAACTTTGTGCATAAATGTTCTGCATTAAAAAAAAGTGTAAAAATGGAAAAACTATTTATAGAAAAGGTAAAACTCAGCAAACTATTCTCTTATAAAACACACTTATTGACATTATTCAAAACCGATTTTGCAAACAACTGACAAAAAACGAGATCTGATACAGATTGTGCACTTGTGGTGTTTGTCCTTGTCACAGAACGAGTCAAATGTTTTGTGCCAAGAAGAAAACATGGCAGAAAGTTTTCTCCTGCCCAACTAGGTTATTGTTCTTCTTCTTCAGCTGATGATGATGCCACATACTCTCTATGTTGTCACAGGCTACAACCAGCCCACCATCTTTATGAGAACTATTTTACAAGTTATTGGAAACTTGCCAGTCCTTATAGCAGTTTCTTGTAGAGCTTGAAAATGTATGATGTCCTTTTTGATATGGTTTGACTTGAAAATAATGAACTCATGTTGTTTTTGTGATTTTTTTAAGTTGTATTTTTATGCTTTGTATGCCTTTATTTTAAAGACAGGACAGAAATCTAAGAGAGAGAGGAAGTGGGGAATGACATGCAGGAAAGGAGCCACACTTTGGATTCTAACCCGGGCCGCCGGCATGGGGCGCACCAGCAAACCACTAGGCTATGGCGCCCCCTTTTGATATGCATTTTCACATTTCTTCATTTTCTTGGAGCTTTGGAGATTTTGTCTAGAATCTAATAGTTTGTAAAGTGTCAGTCCGTCCCAGTGTGTGCACCTCTGTGTGGATGACCCCGATGAAGGCCACAAGCAGAAATGCATCGGTCTGATAAAGTTAAGTTGTCTAAAAGTTGTATCTTTTTTTTTTTTTTCTCGATCTTTGCTTGTGTTGTACTTACTCTCCGATGTACGTCACTTTGGATAAAAGCATCTGCTAAGTGAATTGTAGAATTGTAGAATTGTAGAATCTTCATACTACAAGTGTTGTTGGAGCTTTTTGACCTCTTCAAGCCTCTCACTCTTCATGCACCGTGGTAGTTGGTGAAGTTGTTCCAGAAAATCCCACTCTGCTTCTTCAGTAGTTTGTAAAGTGCACAGCATAAAGATACTTCAAGCTCCATACATCAAATTATCTAGACAATATAAACTCTATTAACCAAATTATTATCATATAGTTATTGTCATTGAATGTTTTCTTAACTCAAAAAACGATCAGGTTGGGGCGCTGGTGACGCAGTGGTTAATGCGCATGCCCCATGTATGGAGGCTATGGTCCTCCAAGCGGGCGGCCCAGGTTCAAATCCCACCTGTGGCTCCTTTCCCGCATGTCATTCCCTGCTCTATCCACTGTCCTATCTCTCCAAAAATAAAATAAAAAAAAACAAAACGATCAGGTTCATGTGGAGTTCAAATGTTGCAAAGTTACAGAGAAAAGTGTGTTAAAGGTTTTTGTAAGTGAAGAGTGAAATACCTAAAACTGGAGGATTGGACTTTTAAATGTACGGACAAATAGATGACATGGCATCATGTCAACAAGAATGTGTTGTTTGGCACGTACCTCAACATGCACATGACCCAGCTGCTGAGTTCACAGTTGGTGGTACTACTAATTTCTCACTTACTTTTTAGGCCTGTGTTTCTTTTTCCCACTTTATTTTAAGTAATCTTCCTGGAGGTGTTTAAAGGTCAAAGGGCAGCTTTTTCTTTTATGTGAGTGCAACATTTGACCTGTTGAGGTTGTGTGTCACCCATAGCAACAACAACAACCTCATCTTGTGTTCAAAGCTCTCAGATTCTTGGAGCGCCCTGCAGGGTTCACACCCCCATCTTGTGGTGTAAACGGGGAGCTGAACTTTGTCACTGAGGCCTCAGGCTTCATCTCTGGTTCATGCTCTGAGTCTTCCTTTTGATGACAATTACTATATGCAATTGTCAAATCTTCAGATGCAGTTTTTTTAAATTTATTTCAAGACAAAAATTCACAATGATAGCTCAATAACAAGACCGTGTCTGTGTGACATCAGACAGCATCAGATGTGTCTGATGCTGTCTGATATTTAACCTGCTACAGATATTGTCTTTGTTAAAGTTATGTTTTATTTTCAGGAGTTGATTCCATTTCATATTAATGTAAAGCCACATATTTGTAATTGTAACACTCATTAAGTTCCTATATCATCGCCTCATTTGCATACTTGAGATGAAGTAACACATTCATTAAACTAAATGTGAAACCAGCCATTAATAATGACACTACACAAATGATCTATTAGTTCTGCACTTCTCATATAGTCTCAATATGTTGAGTTTCATGAGCTTGTTTTCTTACATTGAGGAAACTGACTCAAGACGATAGAAACAGATGAACAGTTCAAAACACACCAGAGTAAAATAAATAGTGTTGGGGGAGACATAGAGGTCAAACTGGCTTTGATAATAAAACATGATTTTGTAATAATGAAAGATTGACTGACGTCTCGAGGTTTGCTCGTCTATGAAGCTCATACAATGTGATGTGTGAGTTATATTAGACGTATACCAGAATCAGAATCATAAATATTTTTTTTGAATTTATTTACACACACAGGGAATTTGACTTTTTGTTGTTTTGGTCCAAAATGATGAGCAAAGAATTAAAGCAAAACTGGTAAGAAGATATAAAACAGCAATGCTCCTGCTGACAGGGAAATAAAATAGAATAAGGTGACAATAAAAAATTTAAAAAGTACAATAGAAATATGAAAATATTAAAAAAAAAAATAAAAAAAAAATGTACAAACGGTGCAATGCAGAAGCTGTGCAGGTACATATGTGCAGGATTTACAGTGCAAATAACTTCCAGTTAAATATATCTGACCAGTGGGCGGCTGTGGTTCAGTTGGTTGAGTCGGTCGTCTCTCAAGGTCGGGGGTTCGATTCTCAGCTCCTGCAGCAACATGTGCTGCTTCATTGGCGGTGTATGAATGTGTATGAATGGGATTAGTTACTTCTGATGGTGACATAGAAACCTCTACCATCAGTGTGTGAATGTGTAGGTGTGACCTGCGGTGAAAAACTGCACAAGCTCAAGTCTATTTAACATTTACAATGAAGAGATGCACATGTTAAAGAGTGGATATTCTTGTTAAACAATA